CTGTGATGCAATAGTTCAGTGCGAGTAGAACCAGGCTACAGGGGCGAAGCTGCTGTGACCAAACTGTCAAGCAGCGCCGCCTTCGAGGAAGTAATTAAATGTCGTGTCCATTTGTGTGTTTTGATTTCCGAGTGGTTCCAGGTGCTGTTCTAAAGAAATGTCCTGTAAATATTTTGCGTGTGTATTTTATCTTGATGCCAGCTGGCTGCCTCAGCATTCTGTCACAGAATCTGATTAACTGACAATATTTTACGTTTGTGTTTGTCAGACTGAAAATCACTTCTATAGTACTTGGAGACATTCTTCCGGTTCTTTACATTTGACTATTTTAGGAGTACTTTCTTGTCTTTAGAAGCACTAAGGGAGGAAAAAAAAAAAAAAACAATGCAACAAATAAATCTGAAATCCCTGAGAAACTAACCCATGCTTCCTACTTCTTGCTCTCATTGTTTCTTATCACTCCTGTACCACCTCACATCCTCCCAACATGACTTTTTGAAGAAGACTGTGTTTGTAAAAGTTCATTTAAATCCTATTTCTATTTTTAAAAGTCAAAAATGTTGGGAGAATGTTTATTTTATATGCAAACTGATCTGTTGTGGGCTATTTTATGACTGGTAAACTCTTCATGTCTTAAATTATTCAAAGAAATAAAATCCGGATGTATTTAGAAACATTTCCTAAGGTTCATTTAGTTGTTGATTAGTTACAGCAGAACTAAAGAAAAACAACAATAATACAGTTTATTGGGAGAAAAAGAAATAAGCTGCAAAAAATAGAAGTTAGGATCGTATTTTGGATCTGAACTTTGAAAATAAAAATAATTTATTTAAAAACAAAATAATTGCTGCCATTTTATTTCAGTTCAATTAAAATGTTTTTAATTGGGTTTATAAATATAGAAATCGAAAAAGTGTAATAATAAACAAAAATGAAAACATATTTAGCAAAATAAAGACACTTGATCCTCACTTTTTACTTTTAAATACTTGGAAGTTTTTCACATTTTAAAGCCAAAAGAAAAAATAATCAAGTTCTTCTATTTTTTTAACACTAAAATTGTTTTTTGTACAGATTTTATGTTTTCTAACCTATGTTAAGCTTTATGTACATCACTGAGAAATATAACCTATCATAAATATCATTTCACATGTAACTGGTTTCCATGTAAATAAATAAACCCTGTCTGACATATCATTGCTTCTGTCACCACAGGGGTTGCAACAGGCAGCAGGAAAGATAAACTCAAGGATGGTCGGGATAGAGTGAGTGAAGCACTCTGGGCCGTCTGAGGACCAGTGTGATGTCTCTTTCTGCTCTGGTGATTGGGGGGTGATGGCTGAGGGGCCTTTAGTTTGCTGCTCTTTATGGCTGGAGACATTTGGATGTTATGAAACCTTTATCTCTTCTTGATTAGTAAGAAATCTGACATTATATGTAGAATATTCACCTTGCAATTAATAATTTAATTAAGAGAGCATAAGTTAGCATCCATTTTACATACAGTTGTGCTTGAAAGTTGACATAAACTTCCATTAAATACAGAAAAAAAATCAGCTGACAGTAAAATAAACTGAATTTGACAAAAGTAATAATAAATACAAATTATAAACCATGGAAATCAGGACACTGATGTATGTATGTATGTATTAGGGGTGGAACAGTTCACAAAATCCACGGTTCGGTTCGGTTCACAGTTTCATGGTCACGGTTTTCTGTTCGGTTCAGAATATGTTTATTGTTACACCGAAAAATAAATTCAAAATTATAATGAATTATTTTTTTTTTATGAAAAATTCCAAAAAAATTAATGAATTGCAATTATTTTTAATGATTCATGTTTTATTATATTTTGCTGCTGGAATGTTAAACTCTTTTGCAATTTCAAGTGTTTTGTTGCATATAACAGGTTATTCCTGTTATTTAGTTCCAATATTCTTCCCATCACCTCTGACCAGTTTCTGTTCAAAGATTATGCTCAGTTGTACTAACACACACTGGGTTTTTAATGTGTGCTTTCTTTTAATAATAACCCTATAAGAATAATTGCGTAAAAGAGAGTTCTGTTTCTATTTACAATTTTTTAAAGGGGGTGGATGATTACACTTTTATCTAAGCGTATCAGAGTACTGGGGAAGGTGAATGGAAATAAAAGCAGCACTTTTGAGTTTTTAATATGTAACATGAGAATATTGCTTCCATTTCATATAATGTCTTGCGTTTGCTAATTTAAATTTAGCTAACAAAAGTCAATGTATGGTTAAAATGGGACAAAATTTGAAAAACAGCAACGTTTTTGTAATAAACATTAAGAAACAGAGCTGATGTGTTGAACTCACCACTAGCATTTCCTTGCTAGAACTGAGCAAGTTCCATCTTTAACAAGTGTTCTTTATCCATATAAAATATTAATTATATTCTCTCCTAAATTGTGAAATATTTAGCCGTTTGTGAAATTGCTTCTAATTTTAGTTTAACCTCTAAATCAGAAACACAGGTAAAACAAAGTACCATGCATAATTAAAAATGAAAAATCACATGAATAACTGTGACTTATGTGCAGATTAAAATTTTCTAAAAACTTAAAGCTTATATTTCTATAAATGAAGGAAGGCAAACCTCACTTTATCATTACACTTTGCTTTTGGGATTTTTCTCCTTTGGTGTTTAGAAAAAAATATTTTTGTCATTGTCTTCCTAAACTCTGGAAAGGGGTTTCACCAGTGCACTATCTAGTGGGGTTGTGGCCTCTGTTATGCATGGTGAGAAGGTTCAGAAAGGTTTTGTTGATCTGCATGTTCTCAGGTTGATTTTAATGTTCCTTTTACAGGCAACATCTCCAATGCTGATGTCTTTCGCGAGTTTTCTGTCCTCGCGTCTCTCCAGCCCGAGAAGTTGAGGAGAAGAAGCGTACAGTTCAGCCGTTATCAGAAGCTATAGTGACCACTGTCAACCATCTTTTCATTGCCCACTCTTCACTCCCTATTTGATAAAAATAGAAGCAGTTGTATGCAATGCATGCGTTATCGTATGACTTATAACTATTTGCAGGCCCAGGATCATCTCTTCACTTTTGCTTTCCTGTTCAGGTAGCTCATCTGAGATCTCATATATCAGAAAGTGAAAAATCCAAGCAATATTACTACTTATGCTGATTTTTTTTTTTTTCCCTCTGTTGTGGAAATTAGAAGTTGGTGGGTCTCATTTGGGATGAAAAATGGTCTGTTAAACCAAGAAACCAAGTGTGAAGGAATCCATTGTGTTTTAGGCTTTGCAATGGATCTCAATGTAATTGGGTTTTTGGTATTGGCATACCAAAATCTATAAATTAGTATATTACAGAAAACCTCATTTAAATCAGTGAGTCATAAAAGGTGTAACTACTATAGTTATGGACCATGGATGGTTAAAACAAAAAACACACATATAATCACAATAAAACCATGGAACAATTCAGTTTATGTATATAGTGCCAATTTCCAAACATGCCATCTCAAGGCACTTTATAGAGACAATTCAACCAGATCATACAGTAAAATTGGTTCACAGTTTTCTATCTAAGGAAAACCAGTTGATTGCATTGACTCATTGACTCTTCAGCAATTCCTCACACTAAGCATGCTTGTAACGATAGTGGAGGGGAAAACTCCCTTTGAACAAGAAGAAACCTCACAGAACCAGGCTCAGTGTGAACGCTATTTATACATCTTCCATTAGTCTTGTAAGAAAAGTTGCTTTTAGTTTGTCATATGCAACCAACACTTGGTCGGGTGTTCTTTTGAAATACTTAATCAGCCTGTGGATCTGCTGAAGTGTAATAAAAGTTTAGGTTCTTTTAATGTATTTGTGGCACTTGAAGCATCCCCTACACTTTGTCAATCAGTGTTGTGGTAAGCTCCGCTGTTTCACATTTCTGCATCAAAACACTTCTTCTTTAAGGGATACTGCAATGTGTAGCATTAGAGTAGGCACCCTGTAGGCTTTTCATTGTTCACAGAGCTGTTAGAGTTTTGACTCAAACCTCATCTGCTGCATGTCTAATTAACCTCTCATTCTGCCTCCCATTTCTGTTTCTTCACTGTAAATAAAGGACACTAGTGCCTACAAATTCATAAATGGATTTTTTTTTTTGGTCTAATTTGATACCCTAATTTTGGGTTAAGCTGTAAGCTATAATCATGAAAATAAGATGATATATATATATATATATATATATATATATATATATATATATATATATATATATATATATATATATATATTACTTTTATTTTTAGATTCAATGACAGTAAAAGACGTATTCCACTGAATAATTGAAATGACCTGTAATTGGTTTGTAGATAATTTTTTTTCTTTTAGTTATTCTGACAAACATATCTGGTTTTTTTCCAATTCAATGTTTATTATGAATTGTCAAATCTGCTAAAATAGAATTAATATAAAATAAACTTTATCAAAATAATTTTCCACAAATTGGCTTTTAGACAGAAACCTTTAGTCTGGTCCCTTTTTTTTTCTATTTCTTCCATGATAAAATTAATGTTTGGGGGTTTTTTTCTCACTGTTTTGTTGTCTTACACTGCTACAGAGAACATTGTGGAAATAGTTTTGTAATTAATACTCTCTGTGAGGAGTAAACTTTACTTGTTTAAAATCTTTGTTTCATCACACTCTTTTACTGTAGACTTGAAATGTATTTTGTACCTTAAGGTGGAAGTGAAATAAACTAGATTCAAGTTTTTTTTGTGTGTGATTTTCTTCACTCTATTTTTAGATTTAAATTGTTTTTTTCCCTACCAGCCTCTTAATTGATTAATGAGGAAAATAAAATCAGACAAGCTGCAGTTTCTTAATGGTGATTAGTAGATTATATTATCCAACCATCTTTAAGTGCGATTATTGACCTTGAGGGATTAATCGGAATTATATTCCACATCAGATTTAACCAATTGAGGACCTTTCAACTAGATGTACAGTAGAAAAAAAAAACGCGGAAGTGCAACTGTTCCTGCTAGTGACGTTAGCCAGAGTGACGTTAGCCAGAGCTACGTTGGTGTCATCGTCCTGTCGGTGTTGAGGCTTAACAACATAAACAAAAATCTTGATCTCGTTCCCAGCCACGAACAAATATTCCCACTGGAGTCTCTAAAGAGGTATGTCGACACTAGAAACCCCCTGAGGAAGAAAAATGAGGGAGGAGAGTAGGCCGCAATGTGTCTGTATCGGAGCTGGAATTAACAGCTGTTGCTAAAGCTAGTTAGCATTGGCCTGCGTTAGCTGACGCTTGTAGCTGCTAGCTGCTGGCTGGTCCCGGAAAGGTTCACAGTCTGTGACAGTCTAAAATAATGTAGTTTTATCTTTTTTAAACCCTTTTTGCGTTTTTCATTAGGTTTTTAAGTTGAATGTACTTTTTAAATTTCGCCGTCACACAGCTGTTCCTCGCTAATCTGGCTCACATTGATCCGCCGGTGTGTTAGCATCAACCTAGCTTGTTAATTGTCGGATTAGCATTAACTAAATAAGTTGCGTTAAGAAGCAGGAAACCATCTTGTTATACTTGAAACGTTGTCCTTATGCGCATTTTATTGCTACTGTTTGGGCCCGTGACATTAGGTAATTGGATAGAAGGACATGTTCTCATTTGTTTGATTCTAAAGGGTCAATGTAGAGATCTGAAAGTATACTCAAATTCAGTCATGTGATTGGATTGATGTAACGACACTTTCGCATTTACTTTGTGGATATGGAAGCCAGTTTTAACATGATCAAATTACACATATTTCTAAAACTGCTGTTTAGTTGTGTCATCCTTAGTCCATATGATGGTAATGATAGTCTGACTTATCTAACTATGCATCAAGCATAACATTCCTGATACTATTTATGTTATAAACTTTTTTAAACTATGGATAAAAAACTACGGTCAATGTTTCTAAAGGTAATTTTAAATGCAATGGCACATTAGTTTACGTTGCCTTACAGAGACAATGGCCGCAATAAAATTATCCTAAAGAATTTCCTCCCTTCCAATAATAAAAAGCATTTAATCATTTCGCTGCACTTTAACTTCATGTGATTCACACATTCTGTATAACTAAAATAAATAGCTCTTTTATTCTTTCTATTTAACGTAAATATTTCGACTGAATATTTTTATATTCTGCAGCCCTACAACGTCCAGTTAATGTAACCTTTTCTGTTATTCACATCTGCATAGATAACTTTTATATTTCATTGGAAATCTCAAAGTATTCCAATTAGCTTGGAAATCATTTGCAGATTTTAGTCTTTGAGCTGAGGATGGGCAAGTTAGGTGTATCAATGTATGTAAAGTTATAAATAAAGGTGGTCACAATCACATTTAGGCTACGGTCACACAGCAGCCTAAAGTGCACTACCATATGCGGCCTGTATTTGATCTTTTCATGACAGTCTTAACAACACAGATCTGATTTTTTTTTTTTTTTCCAATGTGATCCATGCTGTAGGGATGCACGATATAATCGGCCCCCTATCGGTATCGGCCTGTATCGGCCTTAAAACTGAATATCGGACATCGGCCACCCCACTGATATTTAACCCGATATTTGATCAGCTTCTGAGTTTCTAAAAAATTTCTAAAAAAAAAATAAAATACTACTTCTTCTTCCTCAAAAACTTCTTTTTTACAGACTTAAAAACTTCTAAAGACAAGGGAAAAAATATTGATACATTAAAATATCACAATATCTTCATATGCTGATATATTGCCATTTAAAAACACCATATCAATCTCTTTTACTAATGAAATATTGCTATATGTCATTGTTATGCTACGAAATCCCCCGAAAGTTCACGAAATTTTGACATATTTTTATATGTTGATATATTGACGCGGTATCGATCTATTTTACTAACAAAATCTCAGAAGAATTTGCAAAATATCATGACAGTTTGTAACAGAACGATGAAATTTCATGAGATTTTGAAAGTAAAATAGATCGATACTGCGTTTTAAAAATCTATTTGATATCAGCATATGAAAATATATTTGAGTATATTATTTTTCAAAGTGTCAGAAATGGATAACAAAACTGCTATTTTCAATGACTACTTATTTTTGTCCAGCTTTGTCATCAGTATCGGTTATCGGCTACATGAGTTTTAAAATATTGGCATATCGGATATCGGCCAAAATCCCAATATCGTGCATACCTACCATGCTGCTTGGCTATGTGGTCCTGAATCCGATGCAAATCAGATCTTTTCAAATGCGACCTGTGTCTGAATGGCCAGGTGTCATTCATCCGACCTGAACGCCATTAATACCCAACATAGGTCACTATTCTGTGTCTTGCTACGCAGCAGCAAGAAAAACCATGGCTGACGATGATGTGAAGATTTCTAGATGGAGTTCAGCACTACCATACATGTTAACTTCTGTAAACAAAGAGCATGCCTGCTTGTGACATCATTGCATCCTCTGCATTGCATGCAGGACACTTCACACTGGAGATCACATAAAAGTCACATATATTTGGAAATTTGTACAGCAAAGCAAAAAAATCGGATTTCAATGAAAAATTGAAATTGAGCATAAAGGTCTGTAGTGTGAACGTAGCCTTAGTGAGGTGGTAAACATGGATGGTAGTGCTGAGCGCATCAAGCAAGCTTTCATTTCTTTTCCAATGGGAGCCCGCGCATTAACAATGCAATCTTTTTAGGAAGATCCCAAAGACAGACTGATCTCCTCATTATCGTCCACGATGGTTCTTCTTGAACTTGTCTCTGCGTTACAAAACACAGAATAGGGTCTTTGAGTATTAATGATGTTCAGGTTAAAAGAAAAGTGATCTGGCCATTGAGACACTGGTTGCATTTAAGAAGATCGGATATGTATTGGGTTTAGGACCTCATAGCCTTTGAAAAAAAATCTGATCTGTTGTTCAGACTCGCATCAAAAGATCAGAAATAGACTTGGGTCACTTCAGGCTGAATTTGTGAACATAGCTAAAGAGACAAAATAATATCCCGGTGACTTAATCCCAAAAGAAAGTAAAACTTAATTAAACTAAATAAATGGGACATTTTGAACTTGTCTGTGTCTCTGCCTAAAATTCTGCAATACCAAGAGTAAGATAACATTCACTATGAAATCACAGCAGCACTGTGTTTTCAGTTCAGAAAAAACTGACTTATTTCACTTTTCTACATCATTGCAAAACCTTTTTGTATTAACTGTAGTCTAATTGTAAAAAAAAAAAAAGTTTCTAATGTACCATTATGGCATGTAAATATCAAGATGTCTACATTTAACATCTTTTTATAAAAACCTTAAAACAGGTGTTTTTATTCAATGTAATTACTATGAAAATCTCTCGTCTCAACAAAACTACCTTAAAGTCTGCTCTTTAAATGTGTTACTGCATAGTTTTGCTAATACTGATATGAATCATAAAGTTAAATTTCCAAGTGCCAATCATGCGATACTTTTGAAATGCTTGTTAAGACAAAAGTATATAGTTGAAGAAAAACTTTATTCTTCAATATTTTGTTATGTCGAAGATTATTTTTCTGCAGCTAGGTGACTGTTACAAATGAAAAAGTGCAAGGCATGGTATTAGATTCTCACTGCAATATTTGCGTAATTGTCGCCTTGAGAGATGTTGTGTCATCGACTGCTGATAGGTGAGGAACAGTGCTCGCTTGATGTGTAATTAGTCATAAGAAATAAGCTCGGCACGGTCAACTGATGCAAGCTAGGTCCGAACTCTGCACAGGTCGGTTTCAGAGGGCTGGTGTAGATGGGGCAAAAGCCTGTTGAGTCTGCTTTGCTGACTTCCTTGCTGGTTCTGGGGCACAGCCTTGACCTTAAATCTTCATCCTCATCACCTCTACTTCCTTGCATTTGGCTCTGGAGGAAATGATATTAAATATAGAAGTTATGTTTATTACATTTATTTGCTCCCTTTGATAGATGGACCAAGATGTTAAAGGAGAAGTTCGGTTTTTAACACTTTTAGCCCATTTTCTGTAGTGTCCAGGATGAAATCGAATGATCGACACCAAAATTTTGACAATTGGTCCTGTCTCTGCTTTTTGGCTCATTTAGAATCCACCCCTGGCTGCTTTAGAATGGCTTTCATAGAGCATGTCCGATAATGTCCTTAAAACAACCTTAAACGTTCTTTTTTTTAAAATATGCTACTCACCGGGTCGTCAGCGCTGTTCAATGACGTTCCAAAAAAAAGTTTCGTGAAGAAAAAACGTTCCTGTAGTGTTTTATTTAGCATTTTGTAAATCCCATTGAGTTCTATTGGAATAGTCAATATTCCCCTGCCACCGGAAACGGAAATGGGGCCTGTTTACACAGTTGTAGTCTTTTCGCTTCACTCTGTGTACTCCGACGTCGAGAATCAAGAATCCACCTTTCGTATTCCATTTTCAGAGTTTTTTAAAGTGTTTAACAGAGACGTTAGCACCTCGACGTCGGAGTACACAGAGTGAAGCGAAAAGACTACAACTGTGTAAACAGGCCCCATTTCCGTTTCCGGTGGCAGGGGAATATTGACTATTCCAACAGAACTCAATGGGATTTACAAAATGCTAAATAAAACACTACAGGAACGTTTTTTCTTCACGAAACTTTTTTTGGAACGTCATTGAACAGCGCTGACGACCCGGTGAGTAGCATATTTAAAAAAAAGAAAGTTTAAGGTTGTTTTAAGGACATTATCGGACATGCTCTATGCAAGCCATTCTAAAGCAGCCAGGGGTGGATTCTAAATGAGCCAAAAAGCAGAGACAGGACCAATTGTCAAAATTTTGGTGTCGATCATTCGATTTCATCCTGGACACTACAGAAAATGGGCTAAAAGTGTTAAAAACAGAACTTCTCCTTTAAGTCAAACAATCACTACTTAAGTATGTGAGACTCAGTTTCTACCACAACAAAATACAGTACTTGTTCGTCACCCCCAGGTGAAAAGTGATTATTGGATTGTAGATGCATTTATTTTTGAAGAAGCGTGCCTTTTAAAAAGAAATGAATTTAAAAAACGTGTTAAACTCCAAACCACTCCCCTGTTAAATACCGCTGGGGCTAAATAACCGAAACCCATGATTTTCATTTTAAAGTAACAGGTTGCAAGGTCACAGAGGTTCTGTCTGAAAT